ATTGATACTGTTACAGGTTATTGCAAAGTTAGTGGCATAAACAATATAAATATATTCTTTTATAGTTCTGGTAGTCAAGAGTCCTAAATCAAGGTCTTGGCAGGGCTGCATTCCTTCTAGAGATTCTAGGGGAGAATCTGTTTCATTACCTTTGCAAGCTTCTAGAGACCATCTACTTTCCTTGGCTCCTGGCCTCATCCTTCATCTTCAAAGCCAGTAGCACAGTATTGTACAATTTCCCCCTCTGACTCCCACTCTTCTGCCTACCCATCTTATGAGGATCTTTATGATTACTTTTGACCCACCAAGAATATCCAGAATAATCTCCCCATTTCAGGATCCTTAACTTAATCCCTCCTATAGAATCCCTTTTACCATGTAAGGTAACATATTCAAAGGCTCTGGGAATTAGGACATGGAAGTCTTGCATAGGGGGGCATTATTCTGATGACCACAAATGGTTTGCAACATTGATTGCACTTTAGAATCACTGGGGAGCTTAAAAATTTTGATACCCAGTTTGCACTCCAGAACTAATAACATCAGAATTTCTAGAGGTGGGATTCAGGTGTCAGTATTTTTTAAACCTCTCTAATTCCAATGTGCATCCCAGGTTGAAAACCACTGGTTTAGTTTTCCATTGCAGTCTCATACCCTCTTCACTACCTCTGAGTTTGCTAACCAAGTCTGACCACAATTGAGGGCATCCCATTTGCAGAGTGATTGTGATGTACATGGTGAGCCTTCAGCCACCCCAGTAGTTTTAAAATTACTGTAACATATTGACCAGAGTAGCCTGATCATATGGAATGCTAGTGAGGTAAATAAAGGAAAAGTGACTGCATTGTAAAAGCAAGTTGCAGAGGAGGATGTTTCTTATCTAATCTACTCTGTTCATATAACTCAGCAACTCCAGGAGTGTTACATACTAGAGACAGGGTTTGATCCATATTCATTAATCTTCTCATTTTCCTAAATTAGATTGAACCCTAAATTTATGTTGCACCTTCTAAAAGCATCTTTGATTTTATCATTACTTCCTACGTTAAATTCTCCATTTGTTCTTTTCATTTATTCTTCTTTTCCCTTAAAATCCAACTGGTCAACCATTCTGTGAAACATTCCAGGATGCCCCAGGAGCTTGTCTATAGTGTCATTTGTCCCTTAGCTTGAATTGTCTTTCTTTATTATTTTTCCTTTTATTTAAAATCTTGTCAACAAGTTAATAAACGTCTAAAAGCAGAGGCCCTGAATTACATTTTTTTTATTCTGATTTATATATGTGTCATGCACATAGTGGTGGTTAGTAAATTGTTGATGATTTGGAAGCCTTTTATTTAAAATCTTGTCAACAAGTTAATAAACGTCTAAAAGCAGAGGCCCTGAATTACGTGACCTCGTGGCGCAATGGCAGCGCGTCTGACTCCAGAGGCCCTGAATTACATTTTTTTTATTCTGATTTATATATGTGTCATGCACATAGTGGTGGTTAGTAAATTGTTGATGATTTGGAAAATGCCCTGCTGCCTTGGAATTAGATGTCGGTTCTTTCAAGAAGGTTTTGATGACCACACACAAAACAGTTAAAGACCACTCTTGTGTCGTCATAGCTCCACAAGGCATTTTCACATTAGATGATGTTTGTCTGTCTCACGTCAGTTTCTTTGAAGTCTGAGTTGTGTTCATTGGTAAGCCTGGCATTTACCACAGGAATGACAAAGTCATCTCCGAATGAATGCATAGGAGCATACACCAGCCTCGATCCTCAAATTTTTCCAAGGTATTATTGCATGGCAACCCAGCCATGTAGTATAAACTACATATTCCAGAGGGACAATATATGGATATTTGCAGTGCCTGTAAAATTATGATTGTCTTTGAAATTAATTAGACCTTCCTCTGTCCAAGATAAAACCCTTTGTTAGATAAACAAAAATAAAAGAATCTAATGTTTTTGGTGTTTTTAATCAATATTTTTAGAAGTACTATGAGTCATAGTAAGCATGAATAATACGACCAAAAGATTGATAGCTCTTTAAGTAATTTGTTATGTATTTTACTTTTTTCTGACTTAGTAGCCTATTATTAAAATTGTCATTTTTATTGTAATAAAATGGTCAAATAACCATGGTCATTTTTATTGTAATAATTTAAAAAATCTTTTACCTGAATTGTATTAAAAATACTTTCAAGTCCAACCCACTAAGAACATTCTATAAGACTGTGATGGAATTGAAACAAACATGAAATATGTGCTATTTTAGGATTAGTTGCCTCTGGCACCATGCCTCCTTAATGTTCAGTGAAGATTCTTAAACATTTTGCTCTCTAGAATTTTATATGTAGAGAACACTTACCCAGTTGTATATAAAGTTAATTTAAATAATGAGCTGATTATACATTTTGAGAAGAGCATTAACATCTTATCTGTTTACTTTATCTACCTTATGTCTATTTTTGGACTTACAGTTTTTATAGTTGTTATTAATAATGATAGTAGCAAAGTAGAAATCAACAGGAAGATGATGGTTCTGAAAGTCATAGAATTGTATTAACTTGGAAAAGGCCAGTCAGTCCAGCTTTCTGCTTTGATGACCAGAGACAGGCTTTCATCAATAACCTAGAGTTTTCAGACACTGAAAGACTGATTGAACATGAGGCTGCGGTAAACACCAGAATACCAATTTATTAATTCCAGTAAGAATGATAATGCCCACACAAACCACAAATACTAGGGTTTGTATAACAAAGGCATAATCTCCTTATAGTTGAGCTATATGTAAAACCAAGAAATAATTATAAGTTTCTTTATTAATTTACTGTGCTAAAGAACTTTACAAAGACCTTAAATATTTCAAGTCTATTCTGTCTGCCCATTCTTTATATGGGAATCAGAAGTTTGCTTGCAGAACATGGAATCAGAACAGTGGGAGTTAAATATTTCTAGTGTTTAGGGGTTATACATGTACTGATATATCCCTTATATCCCTCTATATCCTTCTCCATACTTACAGTATACTTGGAATAGTCCTTGGTAATGGGATTGGAAGTTGTTAAAGATACTTGAAGTGTGATGGCCAGGTCTACTTCTCCTTTGGACAGTGCTCACATGGTAGCTGCCAATATTTCCTCCTCTTTCTCTGTTCTTCAGCTGATCAGTGCCCCTACTATTAACATTTTTTTTTAAACACGTGCTAATACATTTGATCAGTTTACTGTTAAGTATTGCTGGCCAGGGAACATTTCTTTAACAGGAGACTTTGTATTTAAGGCAATCTGCTTTCCTCATTTTGGAAGAATTTTTTGGTTTTTTGTTTTGTTTTGTTTTTTGAGGGTGAATGAGTCACAGAGTAGTTTTAAAGTTTATAAAATGAATGAGGGCTATTATTTATTGAGTGTCCACTCTGTGTTGAATACTAGTTATTTTTCATATGGTACACAGTTCATTTTTTAAAAGGCTTGTGAGGTAGATATAATATCTCACTTTAAAGGGGAGTAAATTGAGATAGAGAGATTAAGTCTCACAGCTAGTAAGTGGCAGAATCAGTACTTTAACCCATGATTATCTGACTCTAAAGCCCTTTTTTTCCCCTACTGCCCTACTGTTTCTTAATAGGAAACCTTCAGTACTTGAATACATTTTTTTTGTTTTGAAATTTCTAACACTAAAAATAGAATTACTGCATAATGATTAGAAGCATTTCTTTTGCGAACGCATTTTAAATTTAAGAATCAGTGATATATACGAAGGAAGTGGTGTGGCAGTTAGTAAATATTTTCCTGCCTCTCATTCACCTTGTCAAGAATAAGAAAGTATGATTCTATAAACACTGTTTGCTGAACAAAAAATACAGCTTTTCCAAGGTCAGATCAAGTTGTAAATACTGCAAGAGTTTTGTTTTGTTTTTAATTAAACATTTTAACTCAGTTATATTTCTATGTAAAACTTTTAATGAAAGAAAAAAGTATTTAACTAAAAATATTTGTCACATATTTTTAACATCTGATAATATTCTGAATCCGACTCAAGTACAAAGAAAATGTTTAATGCTTGTTTAGTTATCTAAGACCATTTTCATACAGGCCATAGCTCATCAAAACAAAACGTCCTTCTCTGGAATTTTTCCTCTTATTTCAGTATTCTAAGGAGTAAACAAGTCTGAGAATTCACATCTAAATCATTCATAGAGTTGTGAAAATAGAATTGAAATATTTTTATATTCTTACCTTTTTTTACTCCCTTGATACTTTGATTTTATAACTAAATGCCAAAATTGGGTGATTTGGGAAAGTTAGAGAAAGAAAATTAAATTTCCAAATGTTTCAAGATTAACAGTGATTGTAAATTTATTCAATTCTTAAGCTTTAAACAAATAGCAAACTTTTTGTCAGTTGCTCTGAGATTTGCTTATAACTAATATTTCTACATTTCACAATAATGTTACTTCTAATAAAATGCAAATTTGTTATAACAGCAATTTGCTTATAACTAATATTTCTACATTTCACAATAATGTTACTTCTAATAAAATGCAAATTTTTTATAACAGTAAATTTGTCATTTACTTAGTTTATTTTTGATGAAAGAAATTTTAGTGTTCTTCTTTTAAACTGCCAACAGTATAAACTGCTATTCATAAATGTTCTGTCCTCAATAAGGTCTATCAAAGTGTAAAACTAGATGGGTATTTTTCTTTCCTTTAAAATGGAACGGTCTTTCATTATGCAGTGTTCTTAGGTGGATTCTCTTGTTTAAGAAGCCAGAATACAAGAGAGTGCTATATTAGTGTATTATTCTCACAACAAACAAGCACTGTTCTGTTGCTACCTGCTTGGCCATTGTTTCTGATTGTGTGTGCTTTGCAGTGGTATTTGGATGGTTTCCTGCTCTCTGCTAGCACAAAAAGGCATTTCTGTTACAATGGCCCCTAACCACACAATGACGGCATTAAGGATTTATGTGGAGGTTTCATTATTTTCTCCTCTTTTGTTCCTTCCAGGATGTCTTCCAAGCGACCAGCCTCTCCGTATGGGGAAGCAGATGGAGAGGTAGCCATGGTGACAAGCAGACAGAAAGTGGAAGAAGAGGAGAGTGACGGGCTCCCAGCCTTTCACCTTCCCTTGCATGTGAGTTTTCCCAACAAGCCTCACTCTGAGGAATTTCAGCCAGTTTCTCTGCTGACGCAAGAGACTTGTGGCCATAGGACTCCCACTTCTCAGCACAATACAATGGTAGGTTTCTCATGGTCTATTGTGCCCACACTCACTTTTTGACCAGTCTACTCCCCTAACAGTTGGCTTCAGTCCTTTGCTTTATAACCATCATCTACTTAATAGCCTTACGCAAGATTCACTCCTGGCATCTTAGAATTCTTTATAAATTCATTCCAGTAGGGAGAAGATATGCTATTTTTGTTTGTTTTTTTGTTTTTTGTTTTTCAAGAATTCCTGCTTTTGAGATGCTTACAATTTAATTAGAGGAAAAAAACATACAAAATGTAAGAATAATGTTAAAAGTAACACATTCAAAACTAGTCAGTTTGAAAGTTTGATGTCATATTCTTTATAATAAAAGGGTGTTTTTTTCCAGATAGATTTACAATGAACATAATTTGAACAATTCTACCATGCTAAATCAAATGTTTTTCCATTTTTTTGTTTTACCCAGATTGAATTCCAGTATTCCTTACAGTAGTGGGAATTTTGTAGAAGAATATATTTCACAGAGACAATAGTTTTCTAAGGTGACTGCACCAATTTCTAACCCAATCCCATCCACACTGTTGTTTTGATAATTCAGTAATTCCCTGTTATATCCTCTTCTAGAATATGCAACTCAGGGTAATTTCTCTGGCCTCTTATTCTGGGGTCTGATCACTGCAGAAGATTAGGAAAATGGGACTTCAAGGGCAAGAGAAGAGAAGGCAGCATAGGGTCTTTGGCTGAACCTTAGACAGCACACACAAACACAAATAAGGCATTTTTGTCCTTCTTAGCAATTTAAATACATAGAAGCACCATGTTAGTAAGGTAGCAGGGCACTTAGCTGCCAGCAAAGCTACCCTCACCTCTCAGCATGGCTGTTGGATGGATGTCACGTTTTTGTGACCTCTCCTCCTTTTCAACTTCAAGGATGCCAATGCTGTTAATTTGAACCTGATTAGACTAACAAAAATATGTTTTATTGTACATTCTTATACCTTTAAAGACTGCTCTGATTCTTTTAGTTTTTCTTTTTTTTTTTTTTTTTTTTTCTTTCTCCAGGAAATTATTGCATATCGTAAATGCACTTAGTGCTGAAATATGCCCAACTTATTTATGTTAACTGTATGATTTAAATCAACATGTATGGAATTAAATCAACAAGAAGAATCATATATCTTTTAGTATCTGTGCAACAGACGTATTTTGACGTTCACATTAGATTTAAATATTCCCATTCAACATTTTAAGCCTCATAATCAAAATTTCTTTGGATATTTGACTATGTGCGGAGATTTTCCCACCAACAATAATGTTTTAGCTAACCTGTATGTAACACTTACATAGAAGTGGCATTTTAAGCAATTCTTAATAATGTAATAAATCATTTAACCCTCACAATAATTCAGAGAGATGTTATTAAACCCATTTTACAGATGAGGAAACTGAGGCACAGGGAGGTTAAAGAACTTGCTCCAGAACATAGCTAATAAGTTGGAGAAAGAGGGTTTACCCAAGCAGTGTGGCTTTGGAGTCCATACATATAAACATTATATGCTGCTGCTTTTTCACAAGAGCACAGGCGTATTTTATACTCTGATCATCTATTTCTTAGCAAGTTAAATCATACTATCTGTAATTCCTCCCATGAGTTCACGTTAGTTATGCGCAATGATAAAACTTTTTGTCTTCTCTCAAAAAGGCTAAACTCAGAAAAGAAAGGGGAAAGATGGGTACTGTGCAGGTCAGCAGGGTAAGGAAGCCACATGTTCCATTTGGCGTTTCATCATTGCTAATGCCTTTTCCCTCTTAATAATTTAACCATTGCCCTCTCTCGGAGAGTATCCAGTTGAGAATGCTTCTTGGATGGGTTTTCCTGTGGTAGTACTATAAGCATAACAAATTTGAAAGGGTGAATATAACTAGTGATGACTAGAAGAATACCAAGAGAGATAGAGAGGAGATTATTTTGAGTACAATCAAGGATGGGTATGAAGTTGCACAATGTAGTACCACGAGGGGACGCTGTGAGGCAGGTAATTAGTGCAAATGAAACCATTCAGTTTTTAATAGAAGGTTCAGTCTAAGTAATAATGATGAACTGCCTACTTTGTTTTTGTTTGTTTGTTTGTTTGTTTGTTGTCCTTTTTTTTTTTTTTTTTTTTTTTTGTTCTTTTTTTTTTTTTTTTTTTTTTTTGTTCTTTTTTTTTTTTTTTTTTTTTTTTGTTCTTTTTTTTTTTTTTTTTTTTTTTTGTTCTTTTTTTTTTTTTTTTTTTTTTTTGTTCTTTTTTTTTTTTTTTTTTTTTTTTGTTCTTTTTTTTTTTTTTTTTTTTTTTTGTTCTTTTTTTTTTTTTTTTTTTTTTTTGTTCTTTTTTTTTTTTTTTTTTTTTTTTGTTCTTTTTTTTTTTTTTTTTTTTTTTTGTTCTTTTTTTTTTTTTTTTTTTTTTTTGCCTTTTTTTTTTTTTTTTTTTTTTGAGACCAGCCGCACCGCGCTCAGCCAATCCCTATATAGGATCCAAACCCGTGGCGGGAGCGCTCCCAGCGCCGCACTCTCCTGAGTGCGCCACAGACTCGGCCCATGAACTGCCTACTTTGTACCAAGTTTTATGTTGGACACGATGGAAATAGATTTGAGTAAGGCACAACCTCTTTCCTCAAAGAACTCCATCTAAAGTAGAAGTCCTTAACTGGGGTCTGTGGATCGCCTGAAAACGAATGGAGAACTCCGTATATATCGGCCTACCTGAGTAGTGTTAGGGTTCCCATCAGACTCTCAAGCAGTTCTGTAACCCCAAACGGTTAAGATCTGCTGTTCTAGAAGTTAGTGCAGTTCAGATACAAATGATTTACCTTAGTTTTAGTGACATCACCACATATACTTTTTTTTAACTGTCTGTCTAACTGGTTTCTAAATTTGTTTCTGCCTCAAATGTTTCTTGATTCCAGCTACTTTTCATCTCTTGAGTAAATAGCTGGAATATTCACCTATTGTAATGTCAAATTTTCAGCGTCTCTTTCCAATCTTTCTTCCAACTTCCAGTAGACTTGTTTCCATGAGAAATGACTTGGATTGTTTACTTTTGAAACTAATGTGTGTCCGGTTGCTTACAGGATTTAGTCTAAAACTCCTTATCTTAGCAAAAAACTATATAGACTGGCATCAACCTATGGCTTTAATTTCCTTTTCTACCCCATCCTTCTGTGGACACAATGCTCCAGTCATACCAAACTTTCCACACATTTTCATGAACATACCAGATGGCCTTTGAATGACACAGTTCTACTCTTTCTACCTATAAAACTTTCTTTTCATATTTTACCTTCCTGATGAATTGTGTTTTTCCTACAAGCTAAGGTTCAAAAATTGCCTTTTCTTAGGTGCTTTCACTGACCCACAAAGACCAAATGGTTACTGCATTGTTCTTTTATCCATGACACTGTTTAATATCTTTTCTCATGGTCTACTTTATAATTTATGGATTTACATGTCTGCCTTTCTATATATTGTATTTCTTCTTAAAGGAACAATCATGTTTATATTTATTTTTAGGTTCTAGGATATAATAGAAACTCAATTTATGATCAACGACTAAATGGCTGAGTTTATATGAATGAGTAAATGGTAAATATGTTTTGGGCAAAGATGTTAAAGACACTAATTCATAATCACTATGTTTATTTTACAAAAATTTTAAAACTGAAGTAGAATCTACTGATGTAGAATGTTCAGAAAGCAAAAAGTAATGATATATTCAGCTATTAAACTGATTAAGATGTATTTTACTCATTTATCAAAATGATTGAATATATTTATAGAATTATTTTTCAACTTGAATACTTTCTTTTTTTTCTGGATACCAGGCCATTGTTGTATTCACATAATAGGTCCTTTTATTTCAGTAGGGAAAGACATTCTATTTTTTTTCTATTCCCATTTCTTTGAAAACAGAGAATTTTCATAGGCTTTATATCATAGAGTTCAATTTAAGAAAGAAAAAAAAAAACAGGTAGATTTCATTGCCTATATCCATGTGGCATCCATACTCCATTCTTAAAAAAAGAAGAGAGATGTTGGGAGATGTCTGTGTTTTATTGCTCAAATAGATTGAAGACAAAGTAAAACTATTGAGGGATCCCTATAATGCTGGATTGAAGTTATAGAGAAATACTTTCAGTGTAAAACCTAAATTGGAAAATATTTCCTCAGATAAAAGTTCTGTATACTTAATGATTGTTGCTATTAAAAGAGTTGGAGGAATTAGGATTCCTTGTTTAGATTCAGGATATGCAAGTGTTAAGGTTTGGAATTAAGTCAGATAAGGATGCAGTTTTTCCTTTCTGGAACTGTGTTTATTGCCTGAGTATTATGGAGGAATAAACTAAGTGCCTAGCTAAGAGCAACTCCCAAATAGCTGTAACTGGCATGAACACTAGAATTTCATTTTATTTTTGGAAGATTTTACTCACTGTTCCGGGTGCACTACTGATGAACTGTCTAACAGACATTATATACATTCACAATACTGTCAGATTTCTAATCAACATAAGATTGAGACACAGATTGTTATAATTCTGTTGGTTTCTGCTGTGAAGCTCTCATAAGATTACCAATCAATTAATAGCAAATTTTGATTCTCATATAATGTTTAAAAAGTTAAAAGCAATGTGAAAGTCTGATTCTAACATGAGTAGGAAGGTAGTTCCTGAAATGTATTCTTATTGATGGTTGAATCTCACCTTTTCTTCTTTGCTGTTGTTTTAACGTGAGTTTTGGTGACTGTCACTTCAAAGTTACAGAGACAAGCAAGAATCACTAAAATGATAGTGGCTCCTTTTTAATAATACTTCTGATATAGATGGATTTTATTTGAATATGCAAAGGACTATCCAGAATATGTCCTCATGTTAATTAACATGAGTATTAATGGAAACCAGAGGAAATAGACTGAAGAGAAATCAAGTAGCAGCATCAGGAGAAGCTGCCAGGAATTCTTTGGTGGCCACTTTGGCACTCATTTTCTATCTGGTTG